ATGATGGTGATGATAGTGGTGATGATGATGTTGATGATGGTGGTGATGTTGATCATGACCATGATGTCCATAACGATATCGGCAATGACGCAGGAAGCCAACAGGAGAATAATACTCATGGCGCCTGTAACTTTACTGTTATGAGGATGAAGGTGATGAAGAAGAAGACGATGACGATGTTGATGGTGGTCGGTCGTGGTTCGTCGTACTACTTGTGTCATGAGCAAAAACTGAAGTTGTTGTTATCGCTGTTTACTTGCCGGTACATACTGTATATATATATATACATATATATATTATGCATTTGGGTTTAGGGTTTAGGGGGCTCCTGAAGCTTGGGCTTAGAGCTTTGGAGCCTCTAATCCTCAGCTCCCCATGCAAAACGTCTGCATCTGAAAACTGCCGTCAGTCCAAGTGCTGTCGATTCTGGCCCTTACCTCGCTGGCGCTGGCTGGGCCTCCTGCACTCCGCGGTGCTGCCGGCAACTGGTCATGCGAAAACCTCTAAGTCTGCTCCTTTGGGGGCTACAGGCCATCGTCAAGATGTATCTGTTGCAGCCACTTCTTGCCTACAGTATACTGTAGGACCGTGACAGGCATGTTCCAAGATTCTTATCCCTCGCCTGTAGCCGCACCGTCATTGGCCTCTTTAGTTGGATCGACCGGTCGAAAGCTTCCCAGAAGTGCAGGAAGGGTACCTTATAGGATTCTATATATGAACCCCAATAGGGCCTTTGGGTACTTTCTACCATATACTTACGACCCTTTGTCATTTTTCCTCCCCTTCCGCATCCTCCTGTTCCTCCTCTGTCTCCTCCGCCGGGGCAGACTTTGCGCTATGTGTGCAGTGTTTTGGGAATTTCGTGCGGAGGTAGTGGGCCATATTGCAGCTACGGCTGTCAAACCCTGATGGATTTGAAGGAAAATTTGAAAGATTCAGATTAAGCAAGGTGAAGGGCCAAAGACCTAGAAGGGCCAAAGACCTACCTCTTTTCGCGTGCCCTATATTTTTTTGGTGACCTTAAACTTGTCTGTCAGGTTTCGGTAAACCCTAAACCCTAAACCCAGTGTTTAAGACCTTGGGTCGGCATCCGAGGTGTCGACCTGCCCGAGGCGAATGGCACCAACAGCTCCAACTACAGCTCCAACCACAGCTCCAACCATAGCTCCTGGGCTTTGGAGTACCATACTTTAATACTTTTTTTTTGGGGACCTGGTTCCTTAAAGGAACCAGTATGAAATAAAAGTCTATACTTTTTTTCCCTGGTTACTTCAAAGCCCAGGCTCCAACGAGACTGTCGAGACGATTGAGACGGTTGCTGTTGAAAGTAGCCTGGCAGGCACAGGGGTCTCCTTCGGTGTCTTGGGATGCCTAAAGCGTGAGAGTAGTGCCATGCAATGACCCAAAATGGCGTTTCCGAAAATAGGGGACCCTAACAAAAATACCCTAAAGAGTAGGATCCTTATTACAAGGGCCCGAGAGACCTCGTCTGACAGTGTTCGAGTTGCGACCTAAACTATTTCAGGACTCAGGGCCTCGGGCTTAGGGTTTAGGGTTTAGGGGACTTGAGGGCGATTTAAGGGAGTTTCCGCACATAAGGGGTACCTTATTTCGGGTCCTTGTTATATAAGGATTTTTTTAGGGTGCTGCTATATTAGGGTCCCCTGGTCCGAAATGTCTTGTGGAAGCTTTGTTATCAGGCCTTTGGTTCTTTTCTTTGGAAGCACCAAGTTTCGTTTAGGGCCCCTTAGATCTATGGGAATGGGAGCCCCTTGCCGGATTTTATGGGAGTGGGAGCCCCTTCCTAAACCGTAAGCCCTAAACTTAGCCGAGTGTGAGCGCCGAAACCCTAAGTTTAGGGTTTAGGATAGCAGCTTAGGACTGCTTGCTGTCAACGGTTTAGGGTTTAGGGTTTAGGGTAGAGTCACGGCATAGTGATCCACGGAGATTTTGCTAGAGCTGCTAGAGAATCTGCCTGGGGATTGTGGAGACATGATGCTCGTACGCGGAAAGGGTGAGGGCTTGGGGAATTTTGCAAAGGGCTTTTTGGGCCGGCCAAGGTTAGGCAATGAGGCTTTGGACAGATTAAGTCATCTCCGACTTTGTTGCTAGCAAGCCTCGTGGCCAGGGTATCTGCGCAAAGACATGCTTTCCGAAACAGGTTTAATGCAAGTACGGTCAGAGTCTGGGACGCCCACGTTGACCACCTGTCCGGAAACCCTGAAAGACAGTCGACCTGCTAAGCATGTGCAAAACCCATGCGCCCTAAACCAAACACCAGGCAACCTTAAGACGTTGATGCCTGTTGGGAGCTCTGGCTGCCCTAGCTTTCAAGGCAGCATGCCGCCTTTCAGCCCCTTGCGTGCGGTTGCCTATGGCGCTTTGCCCTGCGTCTCTCCGACGGATGCTTGTCCGCTCTTTGTGCATTAAAGCCGACACCGATCATGTACTACATGCACCGGAAGTTCCACCATTAGCCTGGGTTCGGGGCTCGTGTCGTCAATCGATGTCTTCCCTAAATCCGAAAGATCTCTGCCTGGACTTGCAACATATCGGCAACTTTAGAAGTCCAGACTTTCTAAACATGCATTAGCTGACCTTCTCGAGATGTTGACTGCCGTCTATCCGGTTGAGTAGGAGGCAAGAAAAGAGGAGCTGTAAACATGGCGACATTACAACACGTTACATGCGCACCCTCAACAAATGTTACGTGTCTGAATCGCACTAAACCCTAAACCCTAAACCCTTACGTGTCTGAATCGTACACGAACTTGCTTGCATCCGGAAGGCTGCTGGCTGCGCTGAGGTCCAGAGGAAGGCTCAAGGAAACGCTTCAAGCTAGCCGTGCTGTTACGTCAACATCAAGAGCATGATACCACGCTCCTGCAGCAGTAAGAGAAGCATTCACCATCCCGCTGCATTCTTGCTTTGAAATGCTTCGATCTTATTTTCGAATTCTGCACGGTGTTCAGAGTATGTGCTGTCGGGCAGCACCAGCACTGCTAGACTTTCCAAAAATGCATTAGCTGAATTTTTCGAGATATTGATTGCAGTCTGCCAGGAGGCAAGAAAAAAGACGAACAGCAAACGTGGCGACAAAACAACACGTTATATGTACAGCCTCAATAATGTTACGGGTTTTAATCGTACACGACTTCGAGTTTTGAGCGGTGTTCAGAGCTAGCGCCAGCACTTTGGCAATGAGACATGGACGGAGAAGAGCAGTGGCACCACTACCTTACAAAGTTGTTTCAAAAACAAGAGATACTGTGGTTAGCACAGGGTAGCATATATGCATGCATATATGTATATACACATGTCTATACATATCTCATAGTTCCTTCTAAACATACAGTTGTTTAGAAATTTCTGCTTTGGTATCACTACAATATACTATAAGCTGTTTGTGATGTGTCAAATTTCGTTTGTTGTTGACTTGCTACCTATCTGCCTTTCTGCTTGTCTACCTATCTGCCTTTCTGCTTGTCTACCTATCTACCTGCCTACTTACCTGCCTTCCTACCTAACTGCCACGCTGCCTGCCTGCCTACCTATCCGTCTACCCATCTATCCAGCCATACATCCGTACATCCTTTATCCCCTATATATATATATACATACATATACACACATACCCGCATACATGCATACTGCATACCTACCGGCCTGCATGTTTACCTACCCTACGTGCGGAAGTGTGGTGTATTATGAACCTGTTATGATGTTTTATCTGGCTGTCCCTATGAAACAACCAGCCACGTCGTTGACGATGGAAAGTTGCCATAATACAGTAGCAGTTAGCAGTGGCAAGTCTCCACGCGAGGGTTGGTTGATGGTAGCTGGCGCATAAGAGAATGCTAGGCTCGAGGAGTGACCGACACACAGCGTCGACTCGACGCTGTCAGCCTTGAGCCCTTGAAGCCCCTAACTCTACAAGCCTGGCCGAAGCTAGCCGAGGCTGAGCAGTGGGCACAGGGCATGGAGTCCTGCAATTACTATGGTCTGCCCTCCGAGGCACCTCACCGACCTGCCGTAGTCGACGTAGCCCTAAACCCGGCCTCCAAGTAAAGCTCTCGCGCCCCTGCTGCATGAATCTTAGATCCTAGAGCCTGGGGGCAGCTTCTTTAAAGGGCCCGATGCCCGATGCCGACACAATTCGGGCTGTGGATAGGCCGGCACGGCAACCCCCGTCCAAAGCCCAATGAAAATAGTTCCATAAAGCGTTGCCAGTTGTTCAAGAAAGCAAGACGCACGCACGCACGCACACGCATCCCCTCGTGCTCGTCGGGTTAGAACTCAAAATCCCGGAACCAATATTCCACACTTTAGGATGCAAGCGCATATAGCCTTCGGGATGATTCATGGGTGGTCTTTGAGGTTTGGGCCCCCCCCAAGCCAGGCAACCCTGGTCCCAGACAACCTTCTGATCATTCCGGTACGCTTCGGATTGACCCTCAACAACCGCCCCCCTCCAAAAATCTTAACGATTCGCTGGAACTCAGACTCGCAGACTACAGTACCCATCGGATCACATAAGCTGCACGCATTTTGGTGGTAGCTCAACTCTAGCTCCTCAAGATGATCCATGTTAAGCCCTGATATACTCAGGCTGATTCTAGGGATCTACGTATATGCCCTGATGAAGATTCTACACCAGGACATGCTGCAAGAGGGCTATGCCATACAATGGGGAGCAGAGGGTCGCAATGACCTCGGGCGCATGAAGGCCTCGGCATGTGAGCTTCTGTCTACACACGAACATGTACACACACCTATATATTGATATGTATATCTGTATACATGCATAATCCTTCGCATATGTATAAGTAAGCGTCTACTCTGTATGTGTCCATCACTTATGTAAGCTATCCTCTGCCTTGTCCTTAATGTTGCCGCTATTCATTTGATGTTCGTTTGTTACCTGGCTCTTACTACTACCATCGTGAGCATCTCGAGATCATAGCAGTATCATGCCAATTCTTGAGGGTATCTGCTGCCATTGAGTGTTCCTGAGCATCGGTGTACTTCAGATAGCACATAGTGTTGGACCGGAGTGTCATGCAGTTTTTGACACTGGCACGAAGATCAGACACGGCAAACAAGGGGTGTCAAACATCGCCACGACACAAGACTCAGCAAAACAAGCTTACTTGTCACCCCAGATGAACAAAGGCTCTTTTGCTCATGGGCCAATATCCCTACTAGTATAATCCCTGTCAGGGGGAGGGGGGTCATTTTTGAGGGGTCTACATTGCGCTGTGCGACATCATCCTGGAGATGCAGGCGTTTAATTTGGGGTTTTGTGGCTTTGGGTTAGTGTACCCTAAACCCTAAACCGTCTGGGAGAACTTGTCAGACTAGGGTCCTATTCAAAACCGCGGCAGATTCTACAAATCCCCGCGAGTCCGAAGAGCCATTGTGCAAGCCCTGAACCATGGCCGCCAAACCTAAATCTGCTCCGGAAGAAGGTAGAAGACGTAGAAGTGTCGCGAATTGGCAGTGGGACTCCTGCAACTTCCGCAGGCTGTATCTGTAGCCAGAAGCGCCGAGCTGCAGGAGCCTCTAAGAACACGGCAGAGTGTTGACATGTGGAAAAGAAGGCTCGAATGGCCTCAAACCGTACAGTGCGATGTCGTGAACCGTCACTTGTTGAGGCTTTGGGCGCCAATGCTGTTCGCCTGTATCACTCGCTGGGGCTGGAATCCGAGGCTTTGCTTTTGGCTTTGGTTCACTTGTGGTTGCCGTTGCAGAGTGAAGGGGTTGAGGGTCTAGGAAAGGCTAACATGCCCCGAAACACTGCCACAGATTAACCCCTCGAGCCCCTACCAGATCCCGTTTTTCAGAGGCCCCTCATAGAACCCTTGTAGAATCGTTATCAAACCCTACTAGTATAAGTTCGAAGCCTCTTACCATCCCACAATTGTTGGAAGAGGAGGAGTCGAGTCACAACAGGATGCAGCTAGGCTTGCTATAAGGGCTGCTAGAAGGATTACGACGCAGCATGGCAACCCCTGGCGGTGCGTGTTTGTGGAAATCGCATTTTGTGGTGTTCAAGCGCTATTCAACCTTAGAAACTACCCTTGCGGCATCGGTATCTATCCCAGAAGCCATAAGAAAATAAGCGCTGGGCGCATGTTGGAGATATACAGGTCTCATTCCCTGGCCAGGCTCAAAACCCCAAAAAAGGGGACCGGTTAACATAATATATAAAAAACACAGTACTATATATACTATGTACCGTGACACTGTAAGGGATTCTGGGGTGCAGGTGTTACTTGTGCAGCATTTAGGGTGTTTTGCCGGTAGGTCACGTCATGTATTGTTCTACAGGTGCTGGAACGCAACATGGCAAAGCCTTTCACCCACATATTCCCTAAGCACTAAACCCTACACCCTAGTAAACGCCCATGAGATGTGTCATGCCGACCTGCTACCGTGGAACCTCGCCTGGCTTGTGTTGATGATATGAATGATGCATCATCCACAATTCCGAATATACCATAGCTCCCAGAGTTTAGGGTCCTTAAGGTAATGCAGGATGTATATCATTCACAGTCGCACTTCTCCACAGTTGCGCGGCACAGCTTTGACCCCTAAGCCATCGGCCCTGGAAGCTGAATTTCGAAGCCTGGCAGCCTTTAGCGCTAAATCCATATGGGCTAGGGAATATAGAGACATCAAATCAAGTTAGAATAGGTTTCGGTGGTATATTCTATTGTAACTTACTATTAGTAAATAAACGGACCACCACAAGAGTATTGGTAAGCTAATTTGGTCCGCCATAATACCACGAAGTCCTTGCAGGGCAGCCACCAGGGATTCCTCGATCGCGCGAGCGAATTGCAGCTGAATGTGATGCCAGGACCTTTGGTCGCAGACTTTGGCTTTAGGGCCACGGTTCATAGGTTTCGATTTCTAGGCTTTACAGAGCAAGTTATAGTAACAATCATATATATATATATATAGATATAGATATAGATAGTTGTGCGCTTATAGACGAATCTATAATAACCATCATATCGTTGTGTTTTTTAAATTCGGAGTTCCCTAAACCCTAAACCCTAAATCCTAAACCCTAAACTCTAAATCCTAAACCCTAAGGTTGGAGGTGGTTCTTGGGGTCAGGGCCCCTGGGACTCTTGGGCCTTTGGGGGCTCGGGAGTTGAAGTCACAGCACACATGTAAACGTGCATATGTGTGTATATCTATATATGTGTATATGTATATAGATATATGTATGTAGTTATTTATGTTTGTTTCTATATATATAAGTATATGTACATGTATATGTATTTATATGTGCACATGCATGGATCCTGTACCTTACACCCCAAACCCTCACAGTATATAGCCGCTTTCCTGTAGCCCGAGGTTTCCACAGCACTGAGCCCAGCCTTTGCGACGACTTCGACTGCTTCGAGTTCTGGAGGGATGCGACTCTCAAAGGCTTCGAGCAAGGCCGGGCCATGCTATATAGTTTACCTTAACCTACCGAAACCCACTTTTTTGCAGGTTATTAAAAATGAGCCTTAATATGGAATTTATAGGGGCCCTACAAAAGAGTAGGTTTTGGTAGGTTAAGGTAGAGTTTACCTATAGTCTCCATGGGGGGGGGGGGGTTCTGCAAGGTATCCCCAAAAAGGAACCACAATGGAGACTATAGGTGGGTTCAACATCCGGGAGTCTAGCTTCAAGAAGGGATGTTGAGGACGTCGCCGTATACCGGATCCACTCCCGAAAGTCGCAACAGTAGTAGCCGCGTCTGCTTCGCAGGCTTCGCTGCCGACGGCCAGTGGCATCCGGCTGTGTCAGCATTGATCCTCCTGAACGAGCCCGCCGCTAGGCGGAGTCGTGGACCTTTGGATCCCGCTTGCGTGTTTAAGTTTTGGGCTAAATAAAGCATGTTGTTTTCCACAGTATAGCCTGACATGGACTTATATAATCAGGGGCTGTCCTGGAAACACTCTATGCATCCAGCCCTGATCTTGAGAGTGGCTGCTTGTCCCGATATTCCGGAGGCCCCAAACCGCAAGCAAAACCGAAGCCCCACCTCAGCTGGCCGACAGACATCCGAAAACCCCCAAAGCCGCAAAGGGCTCCCAGATGCAGGGCTCCTGAAAGTTCAGGACTTCTTCGAACACGACCCGCTCTGCAAGGGTAGAGGCCCGGGCAATCCGGTAGCTCCGTGTCCAGGAGACAGGATTACTTGACAGTGCTCTCTTTTGTTTCCGAGGGTTCTGAGGTACAAGTTCAAGGTTCTTAGATGCCAGCTACCGATTTCGGCATTCCGGGAAGCACAACCCTACCTTGTGAGCCTTCTTATTCTGTCATTTGAGGGCTTGGCCTCGCCTCTCCTCGCCAGTGCGCACTTTCATAGATGCCATGTGGGTGCACGCGTGCAAGTCGTTGAGGTAAGATATCGAGAACATGCATGCATTCCTGCGTGCTCATGCACATCTGCAAATTGGGGCGCTCTACAGTTTGCACGGACATGCCAATGTGCATGTCAAAGTGTACACGCCGCTATGCGCGGCGACATGCATTCTTGCATATACGCACGTACACAGGCTGAGGCTGAGGGATGGCACGAACACAAAGACTACAGTCATAAGAACTTGCCAACACACCCGCATATGCACACACACACACACGCGCTCCCTCTCTCTGTATTTCTCGCTATCTCTTCCACAACTTGTTTGTTTGCTTGATTGGCAAAGAGTTGGTTATGTTCCTGGTAACTGCTCGTTGTCAGTATGCACACTTGCTGACATCTGTCTGTTTACGGCGCCTGCGCGATATCATACATCTACGACCATACACGTTCATGTTCAGCCAGCTGCGCATGCCCCAGTCCCCGGTGTTGTCTGGATGCTTCCCGCCAGCACCAAACTTCCCCGACGCACTTTCTATATGCACGCTGCATCGCTGCAGGGCGAGCCAGGAGCCAGTCCTTTCAGCCCACCACCAGAGATCACCCGGCACGAAAAAAGCCCAGAAGCCCTCAGATGCCAAAGCTACCCTTCAAAAGCCCGTGGCTTTTCCGGACTTCAGGTGCTTTTTGTCGAGTGAAGGCGGCGATCTCGGCCTTGGATGGTGTTCTGGCTGCTGAGGACTTCGCCGGAGTGGCGCCCGGACGTTGGGCTGCAAGATGCTGCTTATAGTACTTTTTGGGGCCCAAAGAGTTTTATGCTCAACGTTGCTAAGTTTTAGGGCCACTCAAATGTAAATCGTATTTGGGGGTTGAGCTGCTTTTCAAGTTCTGGGCTGTGTGGCCTGTTGGCACCTCTTGTCGTGAAGCTGCACGCTGCTAGCTACATGGATAGTTCTCTAAATCAGAGTCCCTTTTTAGGTCCCCAATATAGTACGGCCCCCATATAAAAAGGATTTGCAAAGGCACCCTAGTTTAGAGAACTACCCACATACATGACAGACCATGACCTAAGGGCGGGTGCACCTTACTGTGACATGGTGACTTGGCAGCATCCGGACCACGGAAGACAGGGGGGAAGGTCTGATGCAATTTCCCTGGTTGCTGCAGGTCCTTCGCCATGCGGACGTCTATTGATGATGTGGTGCAGGGTCCTGGCACTTTTGGGTTTCAGGCCCATTGCAGATGCTGCATGTGCAGGTTTCTAGTTTCTCCTTGCACATGAGCCTAGGCGGACTGTAGGGATTCGGTAGAAAGAAGGAGAGACTCCCGCGTTCCATGACATGACCTTGGTGAGGACATGCTGGCTGTGGTGAAAGACCCGAGCTTGGTAGACTACACACCGCGGACGCCACTGAGTCGGATACAGTCTGAGTTCGAGAAGAGGCCGAACCATGTCAAACGTAGTAGGTGACAGGACCGTCCGCTTTACATGTTCTACGCACCATTGCACCATCTTGTTTTCTCCGGTTGTTCTGATGCTTATAGATCAGAGTGTTTGGGAACGCAGGGCACAGACTGGACTACGTCTACGTGCCCCAAACATAGGCCCCTCATCGTCCCTCTCTGTCTGGAGTTCCATCAACTCTGACAGCTTTGTGACGTCGCAACCTAACTATAGTCTCCATTGTAGTTCCTTTTTTTGGTTTAACCAACTATATATGAAGGATTTTATAAGGTATCCCCAAAAAGGAACTACAATGGAGACTACAGGTACCAGCTGCCCTGAGGATGTCCACACACCCGGAGCCCAAAAGCCGGTGACAGTACCCTACCCTAAGCCTCTACCCTACAGTAGGGTTTAGGTGTTTAGGGTTTAGGGTTTAGCACCCGACAGGAACCGAGTACCCTAGTACCACAGAATAGTACCTGAGAATAAGACTCTATGGTACTGCTCTTCGGACAGGTGGGTGCATGGCTTGAACACCCAGTCGCCATGGTCACAGTCTCAGACGCGAGTCATTGAATCCCTGCTTCGGTACATGTAGGACTTTCACTGCGCCAGAAAGTCAAGCTCACTCTAAGGTTGGCGGTTTAGGGTTTCGTGACTGCTTGCAACTTGTTGCCACTGCCTCTGCAGAAGAACAGATCTTGAAATGTAGACCTCCCGTCCGTTTCAGATCCTTATCGGTCGGTAGAGTGTGGTATACTACGGTTCAGTTTAGTAGTACAATATAGCATAGTCATAGTAATCCACAGCTTGCTTTGTTTTCTGGGATCCCTGCCTGAGCCGCTAGTCGTTTATCATCTCGCTCTAAGCAGGCAGATAGCCATGCAGGTCGACAAGCCTGTAGGTAGGGTATCTGATGTGTTCATGCCTTTATTCTGAATGGGCATGGCTGTATTTGCGCACAGGTCTGGCAAAGCAGGACTTAGATAATTACTCTCACGTGCGTGGCTTGGCAGGTTGGACATCTTCGATTTCGTTGTCGTTTTCAAGCGCTTGTCTTAACCAGCCAATACACACGCCACCGTTAGCTCCACTACCCAGAGCTGAACTTGATCCGATAATGTCGATGATGCAGGATTTCGCCTCCTCGGATGTTTCAATGCCCGGCCTGTTTCCGCGAAAACCTATTCAAAGCAATGAATGAACTACAGGTCCTTTGTCAGCGAGTTCGTCTCCCAGCACTACGAGAAATACGACAACTTCGGCAACCTTCCCTGGTTCATTGGCGAGTATGGAGCAAATGGCCAGGACGAGGACGTCATCATCTCGGACTTGACGCACTATGGCAGCAAAAAGCTGGTTTTCTTTCTGTAGCTTACAAACCCTTTCTACCCTAAACAGCCTAAACCCTGGACCCCAAACCCTAAACCCCAAGCCCAATACAGTCTGCACCAACAACAGTCCGACGGTCTGATCAGACCTCGGAGGTCGATGGAGCAACGTGCCGTGGATGACTCGCTCTTCTTGGGGGCTGCTGTGTTCCAGCCTCTTTTCAGCATGCCCAGTTCCCGATGTCTTAAAGCATAAACATAGACTCCACTTGCAATCTAAAGCCAGGTATATGCGCGTATACATATCAATAGCCCGAGAGAGAGAGAGAGATAGGACTAAACCCTAAACCCTAAACCCTCAACCCTATATTCCCCAAGCCCAAGTCTAGTTACACTTGGAGAGCCGATGTCGAAGGCCTTTGCGGCTCCAAAACCCTGATGCAACCTGGGAGTTTCCTCAAACTTTGTGCGGTCCTTCTTGAAGGTCTTAGTATAGAAGCCTAAATAATTACCCATCTTATTCCTTGGGGTTCCTTATTATACTTATATCATAGAGGAGCCCCAAAACCTTGTTCTAATTATTCAAGGTGAATATAGGGGCCTTAATAATGAGAATAGGGTTTCGGGGTTCACTATACTTAATTATAATGAGGAACCCCCAAAGTAGTATTGGTAAATAAGGCAATTTAGGCCGCTTCATTACGCGGTCCTTCTTCAAAAAACTTAGGATGCGAACTGGGAAAGCGAAAAGGCCCGAAAAGGTCGATATGATGGGAGTCCAATTTCGTTGGGGTACCTTATTTTGGGGTCCTTATAACAAGGATCCTATCATTTAGGGACCCTAAATCCTAAACCCTAAACCCTAAACCCTAAACCCTAAACCCTAAACCCTATCATTTAGGGTGCTATATATATGGGTCCCGGATCTTCGGAAACCCCATATCAAGGTGTCAGATCCTAAGGTTTGATCGGTTTAGGGTTTAGGGTTTAGGGTTTAGGGTGAAGACCCAGCGCTAACATAAACCCTCTACAGGCAAAGGCCCTTCTAGCATCATTTCTGCATGATCCGAGTTTACGCCGCCTCTTTAAAGGGCCCCTTGGTTTTCGACACCCTAACCCCTGAAAGCGAAATGACCCTAAATCGTATGCCGAGGTTTCAGACGGCCTACAGCAAGGGGGGTTCGGAGTTGAACTTCGGACTCTACAGCTTGGGCACAAGGACGGGATGTTTCCTTCGACCGTGATTCAAAGGAGGGTTCCAAACATTCAGAAAGTGATCCCCGCAAGTGCGTGCCTGAGAAATTTAGATCCCGCAATCCGAAACTTCGAAACACTACTCCCCCTTTCAGTAAAGAACGGCAACAAGTAGTTGAGACAACTTCCTGGGTGCGGTTTGGGAGGTTCGATTGCTGCACGGGTTGCCTTCGCGGTTTATGTGCTTGCTCCATTGCTGCAGATATCTTTGATCAACAAGAATACACGGAACACTTTGCGTTCACCGTAAGTGCACAGCAGGCATGAAGTCTAGCCCCGGAGCCTTCTACTCTAGAAATCACAGTGACACTGTCCAGAGGCCAAGGTGTACAGCTTTGAGTTCAGTCCTTTTGCGCATAATCATTTATCTGACAAAATAAATCAAAAGGCCAGCACCATCAACCTGGTTGGCATTAACTGATCCGATTTAGTCAGTCCTACGTTGAGGCTCTTTCGGGATGGACCGAGGCATGGCAGCCCCAAGGCCAAATACCAATAGTAACGATAGAAATACGAATACTACACAAGCTACCGATGATCATCGCAATGGTGATGACACGTCTCCAGGCCCGAGCTGTAGGAGGCTGATTTTGTGCGATCTTCCCTGAGCCCTTGATTCAATGATATGGGATCTTCCGAAAATCAGGGGTACCTTATTTGGGGGGTCCTTACAATAAGGACCCTATTATTTAGAGTACTGTCTTAGGGTCCCCTAATTTCGGAAACCCCCATATTGGGCTCCTGAGTCCTCGCCCATAATTAGCCCAAGCCCTTCTCTGAGTCTGGGTCAGGAAATTGGGTATGACGGGGGACGTCTGCGACCGGAAAAGCCCTTGCATGAAGTGGCCGGTGTTCTGCTTCTGGGCCAGCTATTCTATGGGTCTTTTAGGGCTTTGGAGGCTTACAAGGAGCTACTACAAGGGCGACTATAAGGGCTCTATGGGTTTGCTGGGGTGAAAGTTGATAGGATTCGGGATGTTGGGGATTGTCATTCCTTGGGCTAGGATGTAGGTGAATTAGCGTATGGGGGATTCGTCATATCTGTTCATATACAAAAACCTCACACCCCAGGGACTCTAGGGTTCAGGGCATAGGTTGATATCGTGCTTTGGATTTCGGATTCAGAGTGGGGAGGTGTGTATTTTGAGGGTTTGAAGAGCTTCCGCAACTGTGGAAAAGGAGCTTGTGCATTGTAGACTGGATGGGGTCTACACTGCCATTCAGAGAGGATGGACATGATTACACCAAAAGAAGCTCGGGGGTCAAGTTCAGGCCCCGAGCTTCTCTCGCTGTTGTCCTTCACAGTCGCAGCCTCATGTCGAGATTGCGCCCGCCGATGCTTCGGGGCTTTGCGATGCATTCCTTCCTTACCCAACAGACGTTGAAGCTGAGTCGAAGCTAATAAAAGTCCGACTCTTGCAGGATGTCCTGGCCCCACATATGAACATATGAACTATTGTTAACTCGACATCATGTTCCGGGATGGACGGCCACAACGAGGGGACACCATGCGATCCTTTGAGCATGGAGCTGCCGGCCTCTACGATATCATGAGCCTGTATATTGCATGCCTTAATGGCAGTTCGCCTTTTGGTAACCTTATAGTACCCCTAAACCCTAAACCCTAAACCCTAAACCCTAAACCCTACACCCTACCCCCTTTGTAGTACACTGTCCTTAGCAGCCCTCTAAACTGGGACGTCTGACCCCCGCGGGCAACCTCTTGGCCCAGGCCTGAGCACGGAGCTGCCATGGTTCCAGGCCCATGCCATGGCTTGAGTTGGGAGTTTCCGAAAAGTAGGTGTACCTTATTTTGGGATCCTTATATTAAGGATCCTATTATTTAGGGTACTATATCAGGGTCCCCTATTTTCAGAAACCCCCAGTTCTGGCATTTTGTGAGAGACACAGTAACCGATAAAGGGATGACTTCATCTGATACATGCAGGTGTTAGTGCCTTGTTCATGGGAAGCAGACACATGGCAATGCTGACAGGAGTGCCGTGAAGAAACCGGCGACGGTTCTGATGTTGGTGGCACTAAGGAGAATGACAAGATATTCAAGACAAAAGAATACTGGAGCAGCAGCAGCAGCAGCAGCATCCTTTCTGTACGATGGTAGGCATGACGAGGGCGAGCATCATGAAGATAACGATGATGCGTACCATATTGATGACCATGAACATCATGATTACCGTGGTCGCAATTGATTTCATAGTCCTGATGATTGTCCTACTGACGTAGCTATTCGTTGCTGATGGCGGTGGTGATGATGATGCGATCATGACGGGAGAGAGCTAACGGTGCTTGGATTATGTGTTTACGCCCGTGGTGATCCCGTCCAGTTCGCCGGTCGTGGCCTCGTGGTGATGAAGACGTTGACTGTCCGAGTGGAGGTACAGATCGCAGCACATTTTTTGAAGCAGTAGCTGCAGCAGCAGTAGTAGTCAGTAGTAGTAGCAGCAGGAACAGCAATGGCAGTAGCAGTAGCAGTAGCAGTAGTAGCAGTAGTACTAGTAGTAGTAGTAGTAGTAGTAGTAGTAGTAGTAGGAGTAGTAGGTTTCAGGCTTGTCGGTCCTATCGGGTAGCAGTTGCTCTGGTATGATGGTCAGTATGTGATG